AACTCAGGTTAGACTTTTCATCACTGACATGTGTAATATGGCCCACAGCCAATGGGTGGTAAGATTAGGTCATTTTCCTATGGCTCAAAGTATATTTTACCCATGTCTTTATCAACCGCTGGATTTCCAGTGTGATTTTATTCTAATTGAAAACAAGCGATAGAAATAGAGTAGGTTCTCAAGGTAAGCCTAATTAATGCAAAGCATAGACAAATTATAGCTCTCATAGTACAAAGGGATCCTTCAGCCTTCTAAATATTCCTTCAATGGAAATCCTAGAGAATCAAATAGCATATTTATTCAAAGGATGTCTATATTTATATACTGGGGTAAAAGCAAGTGGCAGATAGACATATTTTCAAAATTATATTGAGAGGAAAAAGCACCATTGCATATAGCTTTATATAAAATGATAGAAATATATTCACATGTAGGGACATCTGCACACACGGATGCAGAAGGACACATGCCAGCCAGTGTGGATCAAGGACTCTGTGACAGGCTCTGTGTCTAAGCAATGATAATTGGGTTAAAATCACTTGCTGCTCTTCCAGGGAACGCGAAGTCAGTTCTCAGATCCCACATGGACACGCACAGTCTAGAACTCCAGTTCCATGGACTCTGACATCCTTTTCTGTCTTCTGAGGGCACTACACACTCATAGTGCACAACATTCAGACAAAGCATTCGTGCACACATGAATAAAATAAAACTAAAAACACACTATAACAATAAACAAATAAATTACAAATCTGAAGTTTTGTTAAATGAAATTCAATCTATTTTGAGGTAAAGAAAAGTGGTAAATATTGAACAAGAGTATACATACATATGTGTATATCACACAAAATATTTATATGTATGTTATGGCTTATTACTGTGTAATATATTATATAATATATATAAACATACTATATATGGAGGATATTTTGATTTGAATAATTGAAATTGCCTCTACATTTGATTAACAAAATTAAGAATATCATAAGTAATAGATATCAAGAACATAATGCAAAAGCACATGAAAAATTATTTAAACATCCTTTTTACAAACACTCAAATATAGGTGTTTCTCATTAATCCAAGAGGTTGCACTCTGAGCCGCAGTGACAGGTAATCTTAGACAAAAGGAGCCTGTGAGTCATGCATACAGGACTAACTGCTACGCACACTGACGTTTACCAGCACAGCTCCCCTTGAGCCCACGCAGGCAGAGCATCGACACACTATTGCTCATCACCTGATTAAGAGTACTACGGGAAATCAGACTGTGGTAGCACAGTAATCCCATTACTGAGGGGGCAGAGGGAGGCAGGTCTCTGTGAGACTGAGGCCTGCTTGTCTGCAAAGTGAGCCCCAGTGCAGCCAGGACTACACAGCGAAATCCTGTCTTGAAAAATCAATTAAAAACAAACAAACAAAATCCAAAAAGATTAGGAATAGTGTAAAAGGCAAGCACACCTGATTAAAGGGCTAACCAAGAAACCATGCCGTGCACAGTTCGCCTTTCCCAAGCCACTTTACACAATGCTCTCACTCTGGCACCAATGCAAATACATCCTGAACAACTATTTCTTTGGGGATTTTGCGCCACTGAAGACCTAAATTTTGTTACTAAACAAAGTACCTTGGTCTGACAATCAAAAGAAACAAGTTTGTTTGCTCTGGGTATGTACGTTAAAAGCTTACCACAAGGAGACCAACAAAACTAAAAGACCTGAGCCAGGTGTTCCTGCAGAGACTGATGCACCAACAGAGGACCATGCATGGAGAGGACCTAGACCCCCAGCTCAGATGTGGCCAATTGGCAGCTCAGTCTCCATATAGATCTCTGAGGGAGGAGATCAGGGGCTGCCTCTATCATGAACTCAGCTGACTGCTCTCTGATCACTCACCCCTGATGATGCAACCTTTCCAGGCCACGGAGGAAGAAGATCCAAGCAGTCCTGATGAGACTTACAGGCTATGGGCAGATGACAATAGTGGAGAACTCTCCCTTTCAGTGGACTAGGGGAAGGGGATGGAGGGAAGAGGGAGAGAGGGTGGGACTGGGGGAGTTGAGGGGGGCTTCAATTGAGATATATAATGAATAAATTGTAAAGAAAAATTCAAATTAAAAAAAGAAAAAATATTTTACCATACTGATAGGATTTCCTTCTCTAACCCTGACTCTTCCTCCACAACATTCACCTCAAAATAAGTTTCTCCACACAATCAACCAGATAAGCATCTAATATGTTGAATATATTAATAGACATGGACCTCTGAGAAAAAGAAAAAAATCACGTAAAGGTATCTTTAAAAGTTTGTCTTTATCCTCACTTAGAAAGACAAATGGGATGGACATTGGATATAGGAGCAAACAAGTAACAGGACAGGAGCCTACCGCAGAGGGCCTCTGAAAGACTCTACCTAGCAGTGTATCAAAGCAGATATTAAGGCTCATAACCAAACCTCCGGCAGAATGCAGGGAATAAAAAAAAAAGGGGGATGGGAAGTTAATACGACCTGGAGAGGACAGGAGTTCCACAAGGACCAAATATATCTGGGCACAGGAGTCTTTTATGAGACTGTTTCTCCCAACAAGGACCATGTATGGATGCAACCTAGAGCCCCTGCTCAGATGTAGCCCTTGGTAGCTCAGTATCCAAGTGGGTACCCTAATAAGGGGAACAGGGACTATTTCTGACATGAACTTGATGGCAGGCTCTTTGACCTCCCCCTCCCCCGCTCCCAGGGAGAAGCAGCCTTGCTAGGCCACAGAGGAGGACTTTGCAGCCAGTCCTGAAGACACCTGATAAACCTGTATCAGATGTAAGTGGAGGAGGTCCTCCCCTATCAGTGGACTTGGAAAGGGGCAGGGAGGAGATGAGGGTGGGAAGGTGGGATTGAGAGGGAAAGAGGGAGTGGGATACAGCAGGGATACAAAGTTAACAAACTGTAACTAATATTAAAAAAATAAAAATTCAAAAAAGTTTGTCTTTTTCTCATTTTTGTATTTCTATACCAGTCTCACATGGATTCAGGACCCTCCTTACTGCTTCCCCCGTGCAGCTTGTTTCTCTCCCCTCTTGTACCACCTTCATTCACTCCCCTTCATCAAGATCTTCAGCTTCATCACTCATCTCAGCATCACTCAGTTCAACATCAGCATCTTCTGCATATTGTCTAGGTATAAGTCATTATTATGTCTCTCTCTGGAGACTCGTGGGTAGTGACTGCATGCAAAAGGCAACCATCAAGCGAATTTATTAAGTATTGAAGATTTTCAAGTTTCACTTCCTTTTTAAAAATTATTATTATTTATTATAATTCACTTTGTATCCCAGCTGTTGCCCCCTCCCTCATCTAGGAACCTTCTCCAAAACTGACCAGATAGTCGGGCACAAAGCAAGCCTCAACAGATACAAGAAGATTGCAATAATCCCTTGTAGCATATCATATCAATATGGTCTAAAACTAAATCTCAGCAATATCAGAAATAGCAAAAAGCCTATAGCTGCATGGAAACTAATCAAGTTTCACTCTCTAGCCCCCACTTCCTCTGCTCTTCTCCCTCTTCCCTTCCACTTTCCCCTTCCTACTCCACAAACTTGTTTTTATGACGCTAAGTTGACTTAGTGCAGGAGCCTTGTGCATGGGTACAGGGACACCCATTGGAGCATGAGCAGCCTGGTCAGGGTCATGTTCACTTTCCGCCCAGGCAGCCGTCAAGCAGTCCCTGTCTAGGAGTGTGACCTTGGGAACCCTCTCCGTCTCCATGCTAGGGTTTATTGACTCGGTGGGTGATCTCAGCTGTTAGGAGTTTATGTGTATTACACGAGTCATGTTCAGAGGACGGGATTTCACAGTGTTCTCATCCCTCAGCCTTTATAGTCTTTCTACCCCCTCTTTTCTGATGGTTTCTGGGCCTTGGGGATCATCCCAAAGCTCAATTTTTAAGTTTTGAAGATATGTTCATGTCAATAAAACTTGGATACAAGACTACAACCAAAATATCTCCTTTAGAAAATAAAAGTTATCAGGGAGTTTGCCTTTCCTTTCAAGAACCAAGAAAGCCCCCCCCCCCCACAAAAAAAAAAACCCTCATTTGTAATGCAATTTCCAATTTAGTTTGTTATTCAGTTCTCATTTTGGTTAGGTATATTCAACAATTAATAAAAAATAAAAAGCAGTTAGTTCTAATTAATATGCAACTATATAATATATTTCACCATGGCTCTATAAGGGTATAACTTTCAACAGATATAGCTAGATCCATTCACAATTCTAACCCATCTAAAATTTTTTCTGCAAAAGCTTTATCTATACATTTTATATGTCTTCATCTATACTCAATTTGTTTTCATGTACATGCCATTAGAATATTTGCATGAGTTTTCATACTCTTGGGACAACATATGTAAATAAATCTCGCAGCGATTTGAAAATTTATCAGCTAAATATGCAATCTGTTATGCATAATCAGGCATGCTATTCAACAACTGTGTGATGTAATTCAGTCTTCCCAGAGAAAATATGTGTTTTGGATAATAGTATCTTCATAAAACTTGATGAAGTTTTCCAGAAATCTGTATTGACATGTTTTTGCATAGTCAAAAGGTAATATGCAAAGCCTTCTGACTAGTGATTAAATAAGAAAAGCTCTTGTAACTATACCCTGACAAAAACCTTATTTCTCTCACTGCCTACCCTTTGTAATCCTGGTTCATCAATTGGAGTTACAAAAAAAAATGTAAATTTCTCAAGATTTTGTTCACATAAATAAAATAATATCAAAGTTAATGGTTATCCAAAGTTTTTCATAAGCCATTCTGTATTTTAATTTTTACTGTCTACTTTATAAACATCATCATCATCACAAGTCCTTCCTTCTAGCTTTCAAATAAATAAATTGCTGTTTTGATGACTCATTCAATATTTAAATTTAGTCACCACAGTCAGCAGTTGCATGTACTTAAGACACTGTATAAACATTAATTCAAAATAAGTATTACTACCTTGGTCTAATTTTTCATAAAACACGGCAGATCTCTTGCCAGGTGACACCATTTCTTTTGGTTCTGTGGGTAAAGAGAGAGAAGATTAATAAAAACAACCTTTCTTTTTATTCTCTAAATGCTTCTTAAAGAAGATTCATTAGTAATAAAGGTCAGAGAAGAAAATCATTTAACACAATTCTCAGCTTCATTCAGCAGCTGCCTCAGGAGCCACTTGCCTTAAATGCCAAATAATTCCCCAAAGGCCCTTTCTCCCCGTCAGCTGAGAACCTGGGTGACTGCGGCAGACCTGCCGCCTGTTTGCTTTGAGGCTCTTCTTTTCTCACACAGAAATAAGATTTGCACTTGGCAAGGAAAAGCATTAGCTCCCGTAATTTCAAAACACAAGCTATAGCCATGTTGGAACCCAACATTTATGGGAACACAAAAGACTGAAATGGAATTTGCAATTATCCAAACTTACTTTCCTCCCTCCCCCTGTGAGATGGGCTTTAAAATATTCCTGAGAGCCTGTGTCTTTGCACAGAAATCAAAGGATAAGAAATTGCGGGACGCTGTAAGTAATTGCAGATTACCCTCCTTAGGAGATGTGATTCCCAGCTTTTCTGTGCTGTGAATGGGGACAAAAGCATTCTATGGGAGTCAGAGTTATGGAAATATATCTTGTTCCCTCCCCAAACATATAACAATCTCAAGGAGTGTTCCATAAAAGATTTTTACTACATCATTATCTGAATTTTAAGAGTAGAGGGTGAGAGTCTGGGCAATGGCTTTGAAAAAAGGGCTGTCACATACATAGGTGAGAATTTTTAAATCACCGTTTAAGGAAGTTAAGTGACATTAAATAATCGGCTATGTCAACCATTACCAGAATAATCCTATAACTGCAATCGATACATCTCACCAGCTGTGAGAAGTTGGGCAAGTAAATTAAACTCTGCATGGACTCATTTTCCTCTGTAACATAGAACTGATTATGCCCCCTACTTCATAGAGTTAGAGAATGATTAAGTGAGATACGTATAAAGGACAGAAGACAGTACCCGCTAAGCATAGCAGGTGTCAGCAAATGCAATTATCAGTATAGTTATTAGAATTATTAACAACTCTCTGCTTCCGAAAAGGCTTATGGCCCCATTGAGAATCAACATCCCAGAGAGAGGAGTGATAGAATGCCTATACAATAGCATACAGTAATCACCTCATCTCCCCATTGATTCATCACACTGTGATAGCCAAAGAAACCTTCAGTTTAGGTCTTTGGCAGATACATGAACAAGACTGAATCATGTCTCAGGAAGATAATCTATCATCTATTAGCAGCTGTCCTGCATGCCTCCGCTCAGGACTGCGGACGGCCTCCAACACGAAGTGATACGCTTCAAGGTTCTGTTTAACACAAGTCGCTTTGTCCTCTCTGGTGCAGTATCGATTCCATTACAGAAACAGCTACAAAAAAGCCAGGTTCGCATACACTTACGTGAAACTGTAATAAACAGAAAATAACCTGAATAAAAGTGTGCTGTGGTTAGGGAAACATATGTCCAGAAAATTATGCCAAGACATAGGTAAGCATGTTATCATTAAACAACATATAACATGTTGAAGTTGCAGAATACAATGAAAGGAAATCTGTAGGGTGGTGTCATAGAAAAGAATAATTGAAAAGTAATCTAAAACACAAACTATGCAGCACAGGTCAGCTTCCTCTGGGAAAATTTCACTGGACAGGAAGCTCTTGAAAGACTGAGTCACAGTGCGGACACCAAATGTTCTCCTCTGGAAAATCCATGTGTGGAACGCTTGCTTCCCAACATGGTACCAGGGGAGAGGGTTGATGAAATTTTTAGAAATTGGGTTCTAGCAGGAAGTCCTTAGGTTGTAGGGAGCAGTCTGCCCACAAAGGGACTGGGGACTCTTTCCTGTCTTTCCTTCTATGCTTCCTGGCTCAGGAGGTGAGGAATTGGCATAGCCTGTATCCCAGGCAGGATTGTTACACTTTTCAGAAACCAAAAGTGATGGAGCCACTTTATGTGTGAGTGACACCTCCAGAATGGTGAAGTAAGTTAAACCTTTTCTCTTTATAAAGAAAATATCCCAGTGTATTATGTTATAGTAACAAGAAGCAGTCGGGTTCAAACTTTCGAGGGAGACAAAAAAAATGTATATAAGGAACTAAAAGTATTAAAAAATATGAGGACTATTTTTACTATGACCCCTATGATATCTACTATACATGTTCCCAATTTCTCTTAATATGTTCAGGGAATCCTTAGGGAAAAAAGAGCAACACACGAATGAAAATGGACAAAACATGAGAATTTCCAGTAAATTAAATTCTCCTAAAGACAGATTAAGAGATATCATTTTAGGACCAGGAAAATGGCTCAGTGCATAAAAACAACATAAAAAGTATTTGTGTAAAGTCAGAGGTGTTAGTGGCAGCATTTGCAGTGGCAATGTGCAAAGTGGAAGTGACCTCCTAAAGCTCATCCAGCAGGGAAGAAACTGCCTTAAAGTTTTAAACATGGTGAAATTGCTGAGGCCAACACCTTGAGGTTATTCTCTGATCTGTGTGCTTACAGACACATGTTCGCGCGCGCGCGCACACACACACACGCGCGCACACACACACACACACACACACACACACACGTGCACATGTGCATACACATTCATGCATCCACACAGAGAGGATTTTAGAATCAGAAGCTCATTCTGTATATTCTTAAAATAGAAAATACATGATTAGATATAAAATGAGAACGCTTTAGAGTTCTACCCCTGGAAGTGGCAGAACATAAATCTCTTCTTTTAAACCACAAAGTCTGTGAGAATTTGCAGTCACTTTAGGAAATTAATGAAAAGTTTCAGTCAGTAATCAGGCCTCTGCCCAGGCTCTCACCACTCAGAGGTTTTTAATGACATTTCTTTAATGCATAGAACACATTCTTAACGTAGAAAGCAAAACTCAGCTGCATATGAAAATGTGATTTAAAGTTGATTCTCCTGTCAGAGGAAGAATCTGCAGTTAGTCTGTTAATCTGCTGAGGTTTACCCCCAAAGAAGAACGATCCATGGCTCGCTTTTGTTCCTCCCTTAACCAAATGCCTTTGAATCCTCATGTCCCTTCTGGAACAAGGGATAGAATAAAAAGAGGAAAGAAAGAGAGGAGGAGGACAGAAGTGGGAAGTTTGCTTTCTGGCCACTGCGCCAAGAGGACTTAGGTTCTAGGTCTGGTATGTAGCTAAGGCTGAGTGTCAGCTACAAGTGAATTTCCCCAGGTTGTTGTGTCAATCATCCCCTGCCCTCATAGGACCTTACATATGGATTGCTGCAACCACAGCCCCAGGCGATGCCTTTAACTTTTATCTACAGAGACTAGCTCAGCTGCTGGACAGCCCTTAAGGAGGGCCCTACATCAATCACAAATATGTCCATTGCCTATATATCTTCCCCCAAATACTCCAACAATCCTGGGAAGAAGCAGCAAATTGTTGCCCAGCCTCCTGTGCCTGACTACACCAGAGCTGCTCACTGGCTCACCTCTTCCCTTTTCTTTATCAGAAAGCAGAAGAGAGTGCCTCCTTGTGGCACCTCTTACCAGCACCAACAAGGAAACACCCTACACTCCTCCTTCCATACACAGATATTTCTAGCACATTCTCAGCTCATCCAAATAATCTTCCCATAATCTCCAGACATCAGAACCTTTTACTTTAGAGATGTAGGACTTATCTGGTTCTCATTTTGGTAATGGAGAGTTTCTCCAAGGTGATCTTCCTCATAAATCATGTGAGTATCTGATAGCCACTGTTGAAAGGGGTCAAATTATAACTGTTGTATATCTCGTGGTATTAGTTTTTCACAATTCTAGCTTATCTACAGCAAAATACCTAAGAAATTGTATGTCTATTGGATACTCTATTTTATTTCATTTTATGATCGTTCGATGAATGTTATATCATTCTTTGGTTGTGTCCTTCCTGCTCTATCAAGCAGAGTCCCAAGTGGCTGCTGAGGTGTTCTCTCTCATTTCCATTCTTAATAGCAGCTCCTTCTGCTTGTGGCTCAGGTCTTACTACCCAAATTTAGCGCCTGTCAAAACTTTAATGCCCACTTTCCCACAAAGTGATCCCCAGGTAGTTTGGACTCTGTTGGTAGTATCATTTGCCACCACTGTACAGCAATTACAGTCAATGCCTGCAATTTATATCACCTCCTTGAAATGCCTTGCGTTGCCATGTCTCTCCGACTATTTTAAGTACCTCAAGGACAATTGTATACTGTGCCTATTGCTAATCTTCTTTGCCACTTAGCGCAATGATTAATGCATAAAAAATCCTTAAAAAGTATATTCCACTTTCTACAGATTAAATATTAAGGTAGATAAAACAGTGTTGGTTTATGGAGCATTAATATCTCACTGTATCTTATGAGAACAACTGCATAGCAAGTCCTTATTTTTGTCACATCAATTATAAAATTAAGAAAAAAAAACTATAGGATAAAAAGATACAGAAAACAAAAGAGTATGACAGAAGTCATAGCATCACAAAGTGAAGCTACTCTGTGGGAATAGATCCAAAGGCAGTCTGTGTTTTACCTCTCTTTCTGCCAGGGATAGATAGCACCTGCCTCCAGGGGAAATTAAGATTATTACAAGGCTAACTGAAAAAGTGTGGGTTTCGACATCTGGAAAGAATTCTGGACCCAAAGCAACATCAGGCTTTACTTAGAGATAAAACAAGTTTTCCATAACAATATTAGAATATGTAGAACTAGATCAAGTATTCAGTCCTCAAAACAAATAAAACACAAGTTTTCATTTCAGCCTTCTAGAGTTAATGATTTTGATTCAGAATGCCCCGAAGGTATATTTGTAGCATTATTGGGCAGTTGTGATGCCTTTAAGAGGTGAGAGAATAAAAAGAGTCATTGGGAGCCTGTCCTTGAAGGACTATCAGAACCCTAAATGACCTGCCCTCCCCTGTCTCTTCCTGGCCACCATGAGGTAAACAGGCCTCCCTGCCAGGCACCTTGCCATGCTGCACCATGCACAC